CTGGTAGGAGCACCGCATGAGCAGTAAGCGTGTTCGGCGTCGCGTATTTGGTGCAGGAAGAGCGAGTGAACCACTCAGCACCATTATATCACACACCAGGCTCCGATGGCTGGGCCACGTGTTGCGCATGTCAGCACACTGACTTCCGCGACGTGCATTGTTCGCGCCGGGGGTGCGGTTGGAAGAGAAGAGGAGGCCAAGCGATGACTTGGTCAAGAGGTTTGAAAACCCTCACTCCGAAACTGGCGTCGTTTGGTGCATCCCGACTGCCGGGCTTGGGTCCGAAGGATGATGAACACGTTGGGTTGTACACACTTGCTGTTATGCGAAGAGCCGGCCCCAATGGCATTTGTGTTGTGAGTTTCTTTGCCCATCTCCCTCCCTTTAGGTTCCCCTTCCAATCCTGATCTCATGCAAAACGCATAATAATATTTAACATCATATTTTTGTAGTGTAATTTTTTAGTCTCATATTTTTGTATTGCGGCACATTAGCTGAGGTATACTGATGATCCGTAACATCTGTGAAGCGTAAGCCTTTCAAAACCAATTTAAGGCGGTGCCAAATCTGAAGTATAAGGTGGGTGTTGAATAACAGTCACCTTGCGCTGACCGAGGACGTTGATCGCAGTGTGCGGACTGGCGTTGTCGTGGATATAACTCCGCTGTTCACTCCGACACAGTTCTGGCCGAACCAGCCGGATGCGTTGCAGCAGTCGTTTCTTCCGCTCTTTAAAAGATTCATGAACAATACTGACCATACGGTCTGCTTATCTTCGCTCTACTTTTATCATTCTCAAAGATAGCCATCGATCATTCGCAAACATCCATCGCTCTCGTTGAATGCTGTTTGAGATTACGCTTGTTTGACTGTCGACCCGAACGCGCCTCATCGTCGGCACCTTCCTTTCCATCTCTAAACCGTTTAAACCATTCAAACACACATTTTACTCACTGCTTCAACAACGTACAATTGCACTAACATTTCATGAGTCTCTGTCGCTGTGTTGCCTAATTTGAAGCAAAATCCTGTTGCTCCATTTTGTAATGAAACGGGTTCTCACACTGAGTTCGTTAGCTTGGTCGCAACGTGCTAGACTGCTTCACTTAGGTAATTTGTACAATAAGGGGGCTTGTTGACGGGTCTCTCAATACGTATGCATGGGCCCATCATCTTAGCCAGCGCGAATTTTTAGCATGTGGGATCAATCACCGAGCTTTTCAGACGCGCCTTTTATAAATAAATGTTTTATTCTCGGCGTTGCGAGGCACGCTTGCATAGGCATTATCAGGGTGATACAAGGACTGGTAAATGTAAAAGCGGCATTTATTTATAGATAACATATGGATCCATGTGTTAGGTGTGTATGGATGCGTGTAGGTAAGAACGAGTGTGGTTGTGTTTCTAGAATTTGTGAATGTGACGCCCTATTCGTGATTGATTTCGGTCAGGCGTGAGGGAGTGAAATGAAATCTTCGTATTGGATGACCCACGTCCGTGGATTGGGTGTCCGGAGTGCTAGGGAAGAGTAGCACCTCTGTTAGGGGACCTGCCTTACCCTCCGGGGTAGTCCGCCTATCTTTGGTCTCCACCTGTCACCCAGCTCTCACCTGTGGCTCTAAGAAGCTGCTTGCACGCGGCAGCGACCACACCCCTGTCAACCGTCAGGCAGGCGGGCTAAACCAGGTGAGGGTAGCCGGGAATACTATTCCCGGTGACTTCGTACTCGCGTGCGACGTCAGTCCTGACAACTGGGCGGAAGAGATCGACCCTTGATCCAACGGCCAGAAGTTAAGACAATTTCCCAGATCCCTGCTGCTTTGTAGATAGCATTTAGCTGTGCAAAGGCTAGAGGTGAACTCTCGAACAAAAGCCGGATGAGGTTGGGGTCCTCATACGTACCCATAATCTCCACGAAACTTCATGACATGTCCGTTACCCGCGGTTCTTCTCATGCTACGGCGTCCCCGTAGGTGACACGCTCTGCGCTGACCCAGTGGCCAGTGACAAGTAAGCCAGCTGGGTCCCTCAATCCACGGAAGCCACTATTCATTGGATGTTGGAATGTCAGAACCCTGTTGGATGTCGGCAGCCAAGCGTTGACAATGCGCACACTACATGACTACCAAATCGACATAGCATGCCTAACAGAGTTTCGAATACCCGGCTATGGCTCTGGACAAATCAAAGTACCTGGTGTAGATACCTCATATTGACTTTACCACAGTGGGACGGAAGATAATTCTGACAATCAAGGGGTCATCATGGCTCTCTGTTGCCAGGTACACTACGCTCTCCTTTCATGGAAGCCAGTATCAGCTAGAATAGCAGTTGCACGCTTCAAAGGTCACTCTATGAATCTGACCATAATCTCTGTCTACGCACTAACCCTACCCTCAGCAGAAAGGGACAAAGACGAATTTTACGATACTCTACATACAGTGGTGAACTATGTTCCAAAACTCTACATCCTCATTATTGCTGGGGACTGGAATGCACGAACCGGTCCTAGGAACGATCAAACCCGTCACATACTCGGGAGATACACACTTGGAGAAGCACTGTCATAATGGAGACCGCTTGCTCAGCTTCGCTGACCTTAACCGGTTGTGCGTAACCAGTACTCTCTTCTAGCATCCCAGGAAGCATCTTCTGACGTGGTACTCCAACGATGGTCGTACAACAAACCAGCTAGATTACATCTTAATCCGATCCAGGTGGATGTCCTCCATCGATGACTGTCGAGCGTACAGAGGGGCTGAAACAGGCAATAAAGGTGGTTCGGACCACGTACTCCTCCGTGCCAAATTCATACTCCGCTTGACAACGCGCCGAAAGACTCTTCCAACAAAGCATATTAACAGTGCCTCACTGGAATATACTGACTGCTGCCGATCCCTTAAGGCAGCAATAGAAGCAGAAATTTCTGCCAGTGCACCACGCCTCGTAATTTCAGAAAATGAATCTGTAGGCGCTCGTTGGTCTAGGCTAAAATTGTCAGTTCAACGCGCCGCCTCATCTACTTTGGGCTCTACCTGTGAAGGACTGGATAAGTGCTTGTCCGCTAAAGCGAGAGAAGCACGTCTTACGAATTCCCCGGACTACAATCGCTTGAAACGTGAGGCAACCCGCTCAGCACGGAATGATCGCAACCGCTACTGGTCTGATATCGCAGGCATCTGGCAATTTCAGTCATCTCTTTCGTCTTGTTCGTTTAGCTTCCGGCAAGCGCCATTCACACAGCCGATATTGCGCAATTCGGGAGGCCAAATCATCCTCGATACGGAAGGAGAACTTTCCAGAGGATTGGAGTATTTTAACAACCTCCTTAACCGCCCATTACACATCACCGCATCCATTTCAACATTAACCAAGCCAGGATATAACTCGGACTGCTCACCGCCATCTCCCACAGAAATTGCAGACATCGTTCGTCACCTGAAGCCGAAGAAAGCCCCCGGAAGCGGACGGAATTCCAGAGGAAATGTACAAATCTTGTCTACCTTCTCTCCTCGACCATTTGCACGAGATCTTCTGCTCGACATGGGAGACCGAAATCTGTCCTTCCTCGTGGAGTACCTCAGTACTACTGCCATTTCCCAAGAAAGGTGACCGAACTGTGTGCAGTAATTATCGCGGAGTTAGTCTAATCGATGTGGCTGTCAAAACCTTCGCACGAATCTTGCTTTCCCGCTTTTCTAATGAGAGGAATCTGCGAAATCGCCATAACCAAGGTGGCTTTCGTCCAGGCAAAGGCTACACTGATCAAATCTTCACTCTACGTCGAGTACTTGAATACGGCTACTAGTTACAGCAGCCCACGTTTGTGTGCTTCGTTGATTTTCGAGCTGCCTTTGACTCAGTTGACCGCGAAGCACTTTGGGGAATCCTACTTGCCGATGGCGTGCCGGTTAAACTCGTTAACTTGATGAGAGCATACTACCATTGCACGAAGGCCCGGATTCGGGTCTGTGGAGAAGAAACAAAGGAATTCGACATCAATACTGGAGTCCGGCAGGGTTGCCCACTTTCTCCGGTGCTGTTCAACTTCGCAGTCCACTGTGTTATGCCTCAGGCCCTTGAGGGCTATCGTGGTGTTCAAGTTAGCCCTGACTTCTGGCTGTCAGATCTAGAAATTGCTGACGATATCGCTATTCATGCGGAAGATGCTATATCACTACAGTCACTGCTAAATCGGGTCGACCAATCAGCCTCTATGATTGGCCTCGAAATTAACATCAGCAAGACGAAATACTTCTCATCGTCAGCCACCAAGTTCGCCCCGTCGCTCTCCTTACATGGACAACTCATCGAATCTGTTCATGAGTTCAAGTATCTTGGATCCACTATACTCCCCAATGATCAGGCTACATCCGAAATCGTATTGACAGCGCTAGAACAGCCTTCTTACAACTGAGAAACACATTGTGGCGAAGGACCGAAATTAGTCTGAGAACGAAGATCCGAGTATTCTCAGCAACCAGTCGTGCCATTTTACTCTATGGTTGTGAAACATGGCCGCTGCGATCCGAGGACTCCCGGATGCTGAAATTCTTCGACCACTGGTGTCTAAGGCTTATCTTGAAAACACAGTGGCATGAGCGTATCACCAATGACGAAATCCGTAAGCGCTGTTACGGTCTTCCGAAGCTCACAACGCTCATCCAACGCCGCAGACTTCAGTGGTTTGGTCACGTCCTCCGCAGACCAGACACTGAATTCACTAGGGCCGTGATTTCACCCTCGCTTTGCCAGGGTTGGTGTTGTCACCGTGGTGGACAATTGAAAACGTGGCTCTCTGCAATGAAATCGGATGTCGATCTTCTGGGACTCCATGTTGTGCATGGTGCTCGTCACTGAAGGAACCATTAGATCAGCACCTGCGTGGAGTTTGCCGCCCATCGCCGCGCTTGGGCAGCTGCAATTCGCGACATTCATGAAGCCGGCCCACCCTGTCGCAGGGGCCAGCCGCAGTACAGTAAAGTAAGTATTGGGTTAGATCATATGGATAAGTAAGAGGCAGTGACTTTAGTTAGTGGCGTCACATCCGCCACGTCACAGTGTTGTGGAACGGACATTTGTGGCTTCTTATAGGGAGAACGTCTTCCAGGCGAAAGCTCACCACGTCCTAGAAGACTGCCGCCGAAATATTTGCTGGAACGGGGTAAACCCGAACCACCCGACTGGCACCATAGAGCTTGTTCGGATAGCCGATTTACTACCGAAATCCTCTGCAATGAACCTGCAGAAGAATTAGCGTTACCTGTCAGTCTAACTCGGGCTGTTCTAACTGAAACATCGACTAAACTGAAAGAAAAGCGTAACATTTCGTCAAAGACACTTGTTGACATGGCGGAACTGGCCTCAGTGGCGTACTTACTGCGGGTTTGCGGTAAATCGGAATACTGGTAGCTCAGGTTAACTGTTCTGGTTTTCGTTTGTTCTTCTAGCTGAGGAATTTTGCTGCGGAAGTTTCGTCACCAGCCGAGGTGACATCCTCAATGCCTCACTGCCTATCGTACAGCTCGTTGAGTGCGTCGTCGGATCTTGATCGATGGGCAAGTGACGCTTGAAATTGACCAATTCGCTTCATATCATGTGACCTTCGTAGGTCACATCTCCTGGGGACTTGCTTCCATGCGGTTTATTCCCTCGATGAGTTTCACCCGCACTTCCATGCTCCATCGGGCCGTGTGCCGGTATGGCAAGTAAGCCATCAAATTTTTAAATCATCAAATCGATTGGCCGAAACTTCCGGGGCACAGCTGTCCCTTGAGGTCCCTATCGCATTTCCTCCTCAGTTTTCCGCTTGAACTGATAATCGATGGCTCGAGTCTGTTACCCATTTATAAGGGACAAAATGTACCAGCAATTTGGAAAGGCTGGTGCAGTACATTTTTATATTCAGAACGCTCTTCGCATATTCGGAACGCAAAGTGTACTTGCAATTTTCAGTTTCAACTATCACCGAACAGCGACTGAAGGTGGCCGATCGTTTTTTGCTGGCCAAATGATACATCTGCGGTACGCACGTGGGCTTACAAATTCGAAATTATCTATGTTCAGGATGGAGTATTAGTCCGTTCGTCAGGAGCAGAGGGTATGGCGTTGTGAGACGGCTTGTGTTGTACGGATTTGCAGCACGAACACGCAGGGTAATTGGTCGCTTTTCGATCTCCTGCGCTTGCAATTCATTGCTCAGACCTGGTGAGTGCATGGAATGAGCAACGCTAAGCGACATCAGCTGGCGTTTCACAGTGGGTCCTATGGCGCTCCCCGATCGTTCCTCAGGTCTCGTTCGCTTTATTTATGTCTAACAGCATCGATCGTTAGCCAACGCAACTTGAAGCCTCATAGTGGCTATTCGGAAATGTAAAGGAACTGTCCAATATAGTTGGTTGGACCAATGTGTTGCAACCTTCTGAATGAAGCTTACTGGATATAGATCGCACGGGTGACGGGACACCTTCCTCAACATGGCAAAGGCGAAGCCTATGGGTTCCTTGCGTATGGTTTTAGGGCTAGCTGACACCATATCCCGATCTCATTGACTTTGCTTACTCTTTTCCTGATTCTTTTTCTGTTGTGCTGCCCTTATTGTTAAAAGTTGTTGTGCGCCACAATCCCTTGCAATTCGATCCACAGGATATCGGTGCTCGGAACATCGTTAATCGTTGAATCGATTTGCACTGGTATCTCCATTTCGTAGTGTCCTCTTCTGTAGTCTCAAGATTCAATTACCAATTCCTCATCCACAGGAAAACTAGTTGACCTGGTGTATTCGCGCAACATCGTCTTTTCACGCGGTTAACTTTGGACGCGTTTCGCGCTTTCATAGCGCAGAATTAGTGTCGTTTGATCATGACCGCTCTACTGCTGTCGCTGAACCCACATGTACTTCAGATTACCGCGCCATTTGCTCTAATAAGCCCAAAACTCCAGATTGCGAGTGCATCCGAGGATGTTACGTGAAAGGCGTGACCGACAATAGATCAGATTTGTGCGGCATATATGTTGCAGCGCACGCGTGGCGAACTTCCACATGCTGCGTCTTCAGGATTTTGCCCGTTTTAGTGTGAAGTATCAGCTAAAAAGCTGCTCGACACGGCGTGGTCACAGGCGATTGATTTGTTTTTGTGCTCATTAATCACGTGTCATAGTCGGCCGTCACACTGTCTATTGTGTTAAAACACGTTTCTTTTTTCAGCTTTTCCATTCGCCGCGATTTGCTGGTCATTTTGCATGTGGTGTCCAAGAAGTCGACAAACTTTTACGACCGATGGAAAGCAGAACTTCGATAGCGTCAACCGGATAAACCCATGAATAGAATTTCCAAATTGAAAAATAAAGCTTAATTGCGCAACCCACTTTTCGATTTAATGTTTGTACCTTTAAGCTCCCCATACCGCACTACACGCCCCTTTGACAAATTTCATCTTTTCACTGTATTCTCCACGTTTCGAAAATTGCTCGTCACGTGTTTTAGATTATGCGACTCAGTCACTCGTGATTGTTGGGAGTAACTGAATAGTCAAAGTCCATCTTTAAATGTACGCTCTAATCTTTCCAGACCTCTACATGGGAACCACATTGTGAAGCATGTAACAAAACTGGTAACAGGTAGCGGAGCTGGGTGCTGCTAGCGAATGCAAGCCTTTGGAACATTTTATGACGATTCGTCATCCGCCTACAGGCTCGGAACTATATAGAAGGCGCTTACACTTTTCTCCTACAAGTAGAATACTCCGGAAGCTGCCGCGAGACGTGATAGATTTAGTCGCGTCGTCATCTCAATTCTGCCCAATTTCCCGTTGGGCTTCAGCATCCTGTAGACGTCGTTTACGAAGCAGAACGGATAACACTTTGCTGTGTGTTTCAATAGGTAGAAGACATCTATTTATAAATCGATGATACTTCGATCTTCCTGAATACTGTATTATAGAGCAAGTAGAAGTGAATTCTGTACGACTCTTTCGAAATATGGTGAAAAACGTTATAAACGATATCAACCGTGAATATCGTTTTCGTTCTCATGTAACATTTAAAATATCTGACTTACGATATTTCAGGAATCACAAATGTGAGATGTCATCGTAAGTGTGCAGTCGTTCTCTGAATCTAATAGTGGCAAAATACAAATCTAAAAACGTTTTGAACTGTTGCACAGATGTTGCCTCAATCACATGTTCAGGTAAACTGTTCCAAATGTTTACCACTCTCTGTTCGAAGCACAGTGGGTGGGGAACACATTTCACATCCGGCACGACAAGTTTGTATCTGTGTCCGCGTGTACTGCATGGCCCTCATAAGTGCAGCATTGGCTTAGCATTGGGAAGTCACCGAGATGTAGAATACGGTAGGTCATAATGAGGTCGACTCGCACCCGACAGTAGGACAAGGTGTAGAGTCCTAGTTTCTCGCACCGGTCTTCATACCCAAAGCCACGTAAACTCGGGATCAGCCTGGTAGCAACGTGTTGGACCCGTTCGATCTTTTGTGCCTCGCCTCGGGTAATCGGAAAGTAGGCGGGCGAACCGTACTCTAGCATTGGTCTAATGATGGAAGAGAAGAGGCGAGTGGCAACCTCTTCAGACCATGTGCCGAAGCTACGTTTGAGCGCCCAAAGCATGCGCAGTCCGTTACGATATAGCCTGTTCGTGTTGTCATAGCGTGAGAGTACACCTAGGTCTTTCACGGAGGGTGTGGGATATAGCGTTTGGCCATCAAGGGTGTAGGTTCGGTCGTTAGCACCCTGTCCCAGGCTCATAAATACAGACTTGGCTGGGTTGGCCGGGAGAAGAACTTCTGCAGACCATGTGGATAGGCGGTTGAGGTCTTGCTGAAGTAAGCCACAGTCATCGGGAGCGTCGATTTCTCTCCAAATCTTCATGTCGTCCGCAAACAAGGCACACAGCAACCGGAGACGCTGCGGTAGATCGTTAATGTGGATCAGGAACAGAGTGGGCCCCAGCACAGTGCCTTGAGGCACGCCACTTGTAGAGGGATACCAGTCAGTTAAATGGTCGTCGACCTGTACCCTCCACTTTCGTCCAACAAGAAAGTCGCGGATCCACCGGTGCAGTGAGCCACCGACACCACACATCCTGAGTTTGTGTAGGAGAACCTTATGAATGACCTGGTCGAATGCTTTGCTGAAATCGATGAATATCACGTCGACTGACTTCCCCTTGCTTATTGCCTTCAACCACTCATGCCTCGTCACAAGCAGGTTCGTAATGCATGAGCGACCTTGCATGAAACCGTGCTGTGCGGGCGTCAGGACCTCGTTTGACTGTAGCAACTGCAGCAATCCCTTCACGATTTTCTCAGCAACGTTTGCCAAAATAGGTGTCAGACAAATTGGCCTGTAATTGTCTACTTTGCTAGGGTCACCGCATTTCGGAATAGGCTTCACCACCGAACATTTCCAGTCAACCGGCAACAACCCTTCGGAGAGCGACCTGTTGAAAGGTCAGTCACGACAGATGATGGTCGAAAGTGACTTGAGAACCAGCGGGTGAATCCCATCAGGTCCGGCAGGTTTGGTGCCGTCAAGGTTGGCGAGTAGTTGAGCTACCTCTTCGACGCCGCAATGCAGACTATCGAGCTCAGTAAACGCGATACACGTCGAACTCGGAACAGACACCTGGTTATTCGCAAATACAGAAGCGAAGTGCGCCGCTTTTGGGCGGTCTTCGCAGCTAATGCGAGCTGCTCTTCGAAATGTCGGCATTTATTCTTTTCTGCACTGTTGCAGAGGTTCCGCTGACTTTTATGCACTTTGTCATCATTGGCAGAGCCAGAGAGGAGGAATTTGTCCCACAGTCTGCGCCGCCTCCGAGCCAGGTTTCCATACTCCTTGTCAAACCAATGAGGCTTAATCGGTACAACCTCCAGACGTTTCACTAACACAAATTGGGAACACTATGATGTCAAGCTCTCTATTATAAATATCCAACAATCTTCCACAGATGCAGCTTGTGACAGAGACCAATCCAGTTGGCTCGCGGCTCGAGCTAGACCATCGAAGTCCGTTTTCCAGTAGTTGGGAGCTGGTTGCAGCGGATGTGAATACGGCAAAGATAATTCCATATCAGCTATCAGTACTGAGTGGTCGCTCGTACCCAAGGGCTCCAGTATCCTAACGTCACACACTCATTGTTCGTAGCTCGTTAACATCAGATCGAGGCAGGACAGGGTTGAACGTGTTGATATGCGTGTTGGCTGGCAAATGTGTTGCGATGCACCAGTTTCAAGTACCAAATCCACGAACTTTGCTACAACCTCACTGTGTCCAGGCATCAAATGCACATCAGGCCATCGAATTCGAGGACAGTTAAAATCGCCCACAAGTAGAAAGAGTGGACGACTCATGTGGGTCCGAAGAATGGGCAGTCAATCCAAACAACGACTCAGGGGGCTGCGATAAACTGCGCCCACAAGCAGTTCTCCGCGCCTAAGGCGGATGGAGCACCACAGTAGCTCACACAAACCATCGTCACTTCGGTAGGTGCTCACAAGTCTCCCACGCATGGAAGACCGGATGTAAAGTAAGACACCACCGTGGGCATTCTTTAGTCTATCGCATCGGAAACACGAGTAACCGTTGAGTTCAAGTTCTTGGGTGTATAACTCTGCATGCAGCCATGTCTCTGCGAGTCCCACTACGTCTGGCCGCTCAGACGCAACGAAACAATAAAGCTCATCGCGCTTATTCATAATACTGCAAACGTTTGTGAAGGCTACATGCAAGTCACAGCAGGAGCCGCCGAGCGTGCTTGAAGCGTGAGCAGCCTGTTTATCCTGATTCGCGGATTTTTGAAAACCACCCGAAAATTTACGATACGAAGATTTGTTTCCCCCTCACCAGTGCGTCTTTTCAGCTCAATGATGGCAGACTTGAGCCGCTCCCTGCCTACTGGGTCCAGGTCTGGACGAACATGGATCTTCAAACCTTTCAGCCTACTTAGGCGGGACATGATCAGTCTTGGACTGGCTTCGTCTACAAAAGTGATTCTCATAGGCCGATTTTGTTGATCACCTTGCTTTCCAAGACGGGTAATCTGCCTCACTTTTACCGAGTCCTCACCAGCGTCGAGGAGTCTATCAATTAGACCCTGTAAAATCTCGACATCGTGATCGTAGCGCACTTGGGGTGATGGATCACTGGACTCCGGTGTGTGAAAGATGACGAGGTTATAACGCCTCTGGTCGGACGAGGTTGACCTTGCAGGGCGAAGTATACTACCAGCCTCACGTGGTTTGGCTAACTGTTGACTTACAGAACGTAAACGCCCAACGTCCCTTCGTAATTTCGTTCTCTGTTCTTTCCACTGGTCTTCAGTACTCAGACTTTCACCTGCTGGGACATCAGTGTCCAGTGGACATAACAAAGGTAAACAATTTAGGCCAGGTGCAACTGGGCTTCTCACAACGGTTGGACTTCGTGTCGGTGAGTTTGCACGGATAGAGGAGGACGACTGAGCCGAAACCTGAAGGCTATTCGGGCTAAGTTGTTGGGCCAAACACACGGAGCTGTTCGCCACGAAACGCTGAGGCCTACACGTCGGCTTTACTTTCCCTGGCTGTGTCTTATTTCGGGCAATTTTCACATATAGTTTGGATGAAATCGTGTTGGATCTCGCAAAGACGATGAAAATGCTCAACTGATAATCCAACACATGAAATGTGGTATTTAACTTGGCACAAAACACACGTGAGGGCATTTGCACAGTATCCGACTAGTTTGGAGCAAGTACCACAGGATGACTGCCTCGTATTTCTGGTCGGAAATTTCAGAATCGGAAATGAAACTGAATTGTATCTCAATTTCCACGAAATACTTCCAATGAACGCAGAAAGCCAACACAAAGTGAACTTGTCAACACAGCCAAAAATAACCGACGGAGGACGCTATCCGCAGTCGGAGATGTGTCGGGTCGCCTCCTCATTACGTATGGGGTCCGCGTGGAAGTGCCTAGAAGTAGAAGCTGTGCTGTATATCCTGATTCTAAAGCAACCTAGAGACTGCAACGGGCGGTTCACATTAGGAATTCCATACCGATTGGGCTTGGATTGCTGTCATTGCATGTGTAGGCACACATCCGCTGTTAAGCTGCCGTTTTGAGCATTGAATCATCGGGTGCATCGCGAGTTAAACGCTGGTCTTGACCGTGAATTCTGAAGGCAGCAGTGTTAGCGAATGTCTGATTATTCAAACTCCCGCGGGTCTGTGACACGTACGGAATGGTAGAGTCTACGGATGGCACCCTTGTTGTCAGCCATCTCTATTCTGTTTGGTCTTTTCGCGGTCAACAAGCCAGGTTAGCAAGATCAAAGTTAATGGCCCCTCATGTATTTTTCTTTAATCCTTCTGAGAGGATGCCTCCTATATCGCATTAGACGTCTGGATGTGTCAATTACACATTATTTGTTACCGAAACGACCCGTATACGCACAAAGAGTGAATGCTTATCCTACACTTCGGGCGCCCACCGATCGCAGGTAGCCCAAGCTTGCATATGACAGGAAGGTGAACGTACGGCTTATAGCTAGTATTGGTAAGTCATATGCCATATAGACAACAGCTACTTGAGGTTTACTCTGGCAGTTCATTTCGTAACGACTAGTCAAAGTACACCGTACCGTCAGCTGTGCATCCATAGACGTGAATTAGATGTCCCAGGGTATCAGACAATCCGAGTTGATACCAATTTCGCACTCACAGTCGAGCTCATGATGTTGGAACGTCAACGGAATCCCTCACTCCCAAGCCACCGAGTCGTGGAGGGCAATGCTTATCATAACGACTAATGGCTCATTCGAATGGTGACTGTTCGCAACTCGATGGTCTGACGGAAATTCCAACGTCTCGAGTTCGAGTCCCAGGATCATTATCTTGACGAATGCAATCACGTGGGCAGTCGGTCGTCAGGTGCAGTGTTGCGAGCGGAACACCCCTAGCACTTATCTGCTTCCGATACAGTCCTAGTGACCGAACTGAACAGATCCACTTCGAAGTGAGCCGTGGTCTAGATTGACCCCTCAAACCAACGATACGCGAACGTGGACTAGAGGCCAAATGCGTAACTTACACAAATCGGTTGATCTGAGTAGATGACGGTTGCATGGGGACTGATGTTCAAGGAAACCATCACACTAAGAATCACCGGCTGTATGTGGTTGCTTCTATCTCGAGATCAAGCACGTGCGGGACGCATCACTTGGGTGGTTGACGCAAGAAATCCAGGGCACCTTGCTCTGAAAGATACTCACGTGTGATGTCGAAATTTCCGTGGCCAAAATTCGTGAGGTGAATAAAATAATGAGTTATGTGCGGTTTCTGACGATTAAGCAATGGATTTAGCAGATTATAGCCTATTTCTGGGGCAATCGGTCAATCGCAGAATATATAAGCGAGTTCAGTAAATCGCTCTAAGGCAAGCCCACAAGACGGTGTGGTTGCGATTGTAATAGGAGTAATTGAAGCGTTCTACTATAGAAATATATGTGAAAATAGAACGAGCACTGAAAATAAATCATAATGTGTAAAACAGGTAGGTCATCGATCCAAAGCTGGATATGTTATGTTGGGCGTGGTCACAATTCGTAAAAGAAAGAAAAAAAGGAATCAAAATACCACAGCGCGTGAAACAACGAAGACGGTAAAAAAGAACTTGGATTACAGAGAAAAAGCAGAATGATAAAATGCGGTACGTATAACAGAACCGTAGAAAAGTGAAACGATTGGGAGTCTTATATATATGTAAGGCAACCGGATTGATAATTCACAGCATCAGTTCCACATTTTCTGATCTTCCTCTGGGCTGAAACGAAAAGCATGCTACAACCAATTAAATGTTCGTGATTTGAAACGCAAGATTTTCCATTCTCAGTTTGAAAAAATACATTACCTGACAATAGTGAGAATGAAAAAATGATGGGGAACAAAATTGCGCCATCATTTCGAAACCTTATCGCAAAGTAGTCATTGCGACCTTGTTATTAGGGCTTCGTCATTAGCACGTGAAGAATGAGGTCTTCCCTCAAAGTGCAGTCCCGTTTCACATTGCATCTAAGAATACTTGCGCTTGATACCAGATTGATCAGAGCGTGATATTCGCTTCCATTCTGCCGTCTTTTGCTGTTGGTGTGTGCCGTTTCTGAGACTCAAATCGGAGAGCAATATCCTGATCTATCTAAAGTCAATGGGCTCAGACCGCAGTAGCGAAGGACACATTTTCCCAACGACACTGGACCCATTGTTCGTAGCATGTACGGTGTCCTAAACACACCTGGCGAGTTGATGGCCATTATGGGAACGCACCTTACCACAAGATTATGCAGGCCGAGTACATGCAGTCTAGGTCCATTCTTGTGAATCCACATACCCTGCGCGCCTCCGATTTCCACACGTAAGACTACATATGCTGTCCTATATGAAACCGATGTATATTGCGAGGCTATAACTGAGGCTGCGAAACCTTGCATTCTTCTTCTGCCCGGTCGCAAAAGTACTCTTATCAAAGGCCCATCTTCCCTTCCCTTTTGGGTTCGGGTGCGTCGTGTGGTTACATTCGTCTCGAGCAAACGACCGAGCGAGGCATAGTTCAAAAAAAATCGTGTCATTCATCATAATTAAAAACGTCTATGACAAGGCCGACACAAGGAAGGTCCTATGTCGAAATAATGTGCTAGAGCCCGTTTCACCGCGCTTAACCTCCGAGGTGACAAGGCACGGAGTTTATGAGAGATCCATCATTCGAGTGGATGAAACTGGTGGATGTGAACACCCATATAGGTAAAGAAGCAATTCAAAATACCACCATTCAAGACGGCCAATGGCTTAACGACTACTAATGTGGATACCGCGAACGCACTGCTCATGCAATTTAGCTCAGTGGCTACAAATACCCTATCAACACCCAACTAATGTCGTAGGCTTATTCAGCGTCACCTTTACCCCAGCAGCTAGCGCAAGCAAATCGACAAGATCTGCCCAAAGGTTCTTAAAACCATTGTGCGCACCAGACCAGGACATTTTGCAGCCTATTTCCAGTTTTTACTTGGTTCCCACACACTCGCAGCTGGATGGAAAATATTTGATGGATTCACTCCTTATGTCGCACTACCCAATGGAGTGACATCAAAGCAGCGCAGTAGTATATGCGCGAACGCTTACTATAAATGATTTGTCAATGACCTATCTGTTCTTACAAAGACGACTGAGAACGTCACGTACTGCACAGTTCCAAACGGCTTCATCATGTTTATTTTGGGGCATGAGACCTTCGTGCCGCAGATATCTGGACCTGTAAGCCGGCTTTGTATGAACGACTTCTTGAATCCTAACACCGGATCACTGACTAGCGGTTTTATCGTTTATTTTTAATAGGTTCATGTGTGAGCGCTTAAGTTGGCCAATTACGTAAGCAGGAAGAGTGTTGATCACACAATTCTGAGGTTCTCTTGACCCCTCGCTTTTTTCACTCCATACTGACATTATGTTTCGCACTTATTTTGTGACTACTCTGGTGTCGACACGCACATATATCCAACTTTCATTTATCGCACTTTTTTCGCTTACTCGACGAAGTGGTGCACCTCCGTATTCTGTGTTGTCGTCTGCGTTGTTGTTCACTCGCCCTGATTTTATCCCTGCGAATTTTTCTTAAACCAGTTTGCATCGTAAAGGTAATAGGAACCGAAACCACCAAAATGATCACTTATGACCTTAAGGCACCATGCACAAGCCTACCGTATGACTTGACAGGAAAGCGTCCCGATTACTTCCCCGATCATAATCATCGTCGAAGGATTGATGGAAAGACCCACGTGACTGAGGCCGATGGTGAAGTGGTGCATTCGCCTGCGGATACTCAGGTTGTTCCAATTCGTCGTCATCGTACTCCACAGGATAGTCCCAATCATTTTCATCTTCTTCCGGATATGGCTCAACTTCTCTGTGATGTCCCATTTTGGTGGTGGTTGTTGGGCCCGAACTGTCGATGCTTGGTCGTTTGTGTCGAGCCAAAACTGACTCTGTGATCATGACTCCGCCCAGAACGGGCACTCCACCAGTGGGTGGTTTGCGATTGGCTGCATGGGTTTCTCTGGTTTGTCGACTAATCTCCCCAGTGTGTGTACGTGATGCAGAAGGCCGTGCGGTCGAATGAGAAGGAGGAGAGTTTGGTCGACGCTGAGTAGCAGTTCGTGCCTTCCTCTGACTTGTTTCGCTTTGACTATAGTGTCCACTGTGTCCGCTTGCTAGAGATGATGCAGTCAAAACTGACGGATCAGCGGACAAATCTGCGGGACCCCTCCGTTGGTTGATGTAATCATGAGACTGAGAACCGGTTGTGTAACTGTGTCGAGGAGATCCATACGATAAGCTATGTTCCACGACCCCATTGCTGTGTCGGCTCAATTGGGACTGCGAGTCCGACTGACGGACAATGTCTGGCATCGTACCATTCAACTGACTTGCGGGACCAGTATGTCTCTAAAATTGTCAACGGAACATACATAAATCTCGTCACATGATGGCGATAGAATTCAGTATGCATATGTCAAAAGGTAAGGCAAAGATCTGCAGAAGACCACTGCAGAGGGGCGTATTACTGCACTTGGCTGGAAACACAGGGTAACACATACAATCTGGATTAAAAAGGCAAAAGCAGTCTGACCTCACAGTTCGTGCAGTTAAATTATCACTGACGAAATGTTGAAGTGTACAAATGCGGAGTTCCGTCTGAAGTATCAGTGAAAGCAACAACACTGGTGAATCAGCAGCGCGTCTACATCGGTGGAAAACACAGTTTCCTGGGTAACCGATCAATTAGCATTATTTTACTGAGAAGTGGTCAACAAACGCTAGTTGCTTGAGCGATTTGTAAGGTGGCTACGAGAATTACTTGGGAACTCAAAAATCAGCACGTTACGTAGTAGACTAGCCAAAACGGACTCCTCGACTAATAACACGTTGTAAGTGGTGCCACAGATAGGAACAGCCAAAAGGAACTTTGTCGACATGAGTGCTCGAAATGGTACAAGCCTGGCAGAAAGGTATAAAGTGATGCTCACCGCGCTGGAGAACGGCTGCTGACTTGGAGTAAGACGCCGGGGACCCACGTTATCCGACGTTTGTGCTCTACCCAGAGTCATGTCACGGGGATGTGCTCTGTTCAGGGTATGCATACTGGGGGCTGAAAACAAAAAGAACAGCCAGGTAAATGCCAGCAAGAATTGCATTATCGCTCTGATTTTGAAAACACCGAACAGTACTCGAGTGCTTCAGTACGGTTACATAGTGGGTACTCGGGTGGGAGTAAAACAAGGCAAAATTCATGACAAATATGGTTTAAAAATCACCACTTCAGTGTCTAATAGACGAAAGTAAAGCGTCGATGATAAAAGCCTGTCATGTGTGGAAAGAACCGCCGTGCACGCGACCTCACAATCGGTCAATAAAATCCACATCACTTCAAAGTCAGCTGAAGCCACAGTTTAGATTGCGTGTCGCAATCCGAGATACACGGCGGATGCTCCAAAACCCAACGATCAACAAAATAAACTTGGCTACAAATGCTGAGTCAGTGATGCATTAAAAACGGAACGGTCTCATAGAGGCGACGTTATCCTCATATGCCACCTGGCTCGTGTACTTCTAGTTAATATAACTCCAGGGTAGCTGTACAGTTTGAATTAATGCGGTAGTTCAAAAACGTAACTAATTTGTTGATCCATTATGCAGAGAAGAGGTTGATAGCTCTACTCGACAGTCGACCAGTCGCAGAAAGCATAAGCCACCTGCCTCACACGCGGTAGGCTCCCGGTGAGTACGCCTCACCTTGCTTACTGTACCACCACCAGGGGCGAGGTACAAAGGATTGTGTGGGTACAGCACATATGGCTCATCCCCACTTTACGCGGTGTGCCGTACGAAGACTGATGCTGAGGTTGATGTTCCATGTATCACACTTCTGCACCGGAGTAGGGCTACACTGACTTACATTTAGACATAGACTATATCTTCTCAACCTTGATAAAAGTACTCCTCTTTATTTGATGTGCTCAGTTCTGCTATTCTGCTGCATTTTCTGTGTAAATTTCGCGCATTTATTTTCCTTCGAGTTCTGTGTTGCTTGTTTGATATCCCCGATGTGGTTGTGGTTGATGTGAATGATGATAAGGTGTGTACCTGTCTAACACATTCCACTTCAACTGTTGACTCTACGAGACTGAATCGTTGCTGGAGGGGACGGGGTGCACGGTCCTCGTGGCCGTGCTAGGCTCAAAGAGTGGTTCCATCCAATGTGGAGTGGACTACAGCCCAGTCACCGCTTTGTGTACATCTGGTAGGCATGTTTTCTCACACAGGCATGTATGCTACTGATCTGCTTGTTGAAGGAGTGTGGGCCGGCTCCTTTGATGCCTCCCGGTCTTATTCCTTCGAGTTTGCATTGGATATGGTTTGTGTGTGTGTGTGTGTGTGTGTGATGCAGCGCAAGCTACCCATGGTCCCTCTGTAGACGCAGGCGTCCTGTGGCTATCCTATGGAGGCTGCAATGACAGACAAATCCGGGACCGGATGTCGCCAACTATATATGGAACGACTTTCCGCCGCACAGAGCCGAAGTAAAGTCGGTGTCGGAATTGGAAAAATTCCTAAACAAGCACTGCCGATACTTGATATGAAGAATGATCGTCAACGCAACTGGTCAGTATACTTAAGGGATTTAGATGCAGCTACACAGAGGTACCTCTTCTTTCTGCTTCCATCCAGTAATCAGTATAACCCATAGATCACTGGTTCGAATCTGTGTGAATGCGGGCGACATCACGAATGGAGTTAGTCGCGTGGCAGCAAAGCGTCGGTACGATGCGCCAGCGTATTGTTGATAACTTTTATGGTGTTGACGCCTACATGTCTTGCTGAGTCGAATAAGCAACCCGAGATTGACAAATCTGGTGGAAGCTAGTCATCCGTGCTCTGGAAACCAAATAGCCCAAGGCAAAAAGGTAAATGGATGTGCGACCCTTCACGTCAGAAGATGCTCCAAGTGTTTAGTTGACGCCACCAACGGTTGTATGATAACCCTATAATAATATGCCGGAGACTACTCCGGACCACGTGTGCCGGAATCTGCTGAAGATCTGTCGGAGCACTAGCCTGAGAGGTCGCTTTATGAAAATCGCGGAGCAATACAGCGACTAGGGATATCATAGAGATTGCTTTTCACCTGGGGTCACACTGTCCTAAAACGCTCCCACCAGATTTAGTAATTCTCACTGGCTTGCCGAACAGCCTCCTCGTGGTGCCAGTGGGTGGTTCGGGATTTTCCCGTTCCAGCAAATGGTTCGGTGGCAGTGTTCCAGGACGTGGTGGGTTTTCGCCTGGCAAACGTTCTCCCTATAAAAAGCCACATATGTCCGTTTAACAACACTGTGACGTGGCGGACGTGACTCGCCACTAAATAAAGTCACTGCCCTTTGGTTCATCCTGGCGAAGCATTGTATTCCAGCAACGTTATGCTGTAATTCTGGGGAGCATTGGGCCCCTATTTGACAAAGGAACAAACGAAAGTCGTATGAACTGAGCAATCAGTCACTGGCTCCCAATGGGCGCGATTTCCTGAATTCGCTTCGCTGCCTTGCGGACAGGCAATACAGCAAAAGGCTCGGAGTGGTGCCCCCTAAGTCAACACCCTACTTCGGCTTGAGCAACCGGGTAGTATTTCGCCCTCTGACGAAAGCATCGACATTGTTGTGTTGTGTTTTCCTTTGCTATTTCTGTACCTTCTTTTGAATCCCATTGTTTCTGATGGCTTTATGTCTATTCGTGAACCATCGCATTTATATATACAGTTGATTCCGGTTAATAGGACCACCGGTTAATAGGACCATCCGCTTATTCGGGCCAAATTCTGAAGAACCGAAACGAATCCTATTACGCTAGCCTAATTTTAGCCGCTTATTAGGACCGGAATTCCGCTTAATCGGACCAGACGATAGAAGGTGGCAGGTAACAGAGGTGTTAAAATCAAGTTCTGTGCCTGGATGTCTGGACTAAACCCACAGTTCATATGTCGGGCAAGAAAGCGTATCATTCAGTTACGGTAATCCGAGTTGGCCTTTGGTTAAACTGAACTGTGGCAACCTTGAGGCACATCTATCTAATTGGCTTCAGAACCGCCCGAAACTGACTGTAGTTTCCAACACTTGTAGGCGGAGCGAAGACATACATGCTTGTTCACATGTCGTTAACCGCTCGATCGATGTACCGCACGTCCATTGAGCCGAATGCCCTGAGCCCGCATTGCGGGCCTACTCTCGAGCACGGCAAGTGATCGCGGACACACAGGTCCGGCAAATCATAGGACAGCAGGTGGCTAGGTCAACCATAGAAATACCCGGGAGACAGACTCGAGTTCACCTCAGTGAACTGTGCGTGTCTTGTTGCATGTTAAGAAAATGCCACGACGGGACTTGACGTTAGCTGAGAAGATTCGTTTCCTAGATCAGATCAAGGAACAGGGACCAACCACTAGTCAGCGTCGATTGGTGGAAATTACCTGCTTGGCAAAATCTACAATATCGCGCCTGATAAAACAAGAGAAAGATCTGCGAGAAGAATGGGCACAATGTGAAGGACGACGAGGTACTTCCCAAAAACGGAAGCGTGAAGGCAAGGATCCAGACGTCGATGAGGCCCTTAATGATTGGTTTGCCTTTGTTACTGGACGAGCCGTGCGAGTAAGTGGCCCAATGTTAAAGTACAAAGCAGAAGAACTCGCTAAAATGCTGGGCCACGAAGATTTTATAGCTACGGACGGCTGGTTGTCTCGATGGAAATCTAGACATGATGTAAAATTTAAGTAAGCACATGGTGAGAAAGAAAGTGCCAATAGCGCTCGAGCTGAAGAATGGAAATCAACAAAACTACCAGAGCTTCTTGAAAAATTTCCAGCAGATGACATCTATAATGCTGATGAAACCGGGTTGTACTATAGGGCTACACCGGACGGCTCCTTAAGTTACAAACATGTTACTCTCTCTGGCTGCAAAAAAGCAATGGATCGCGTAACTGTCTTGTGCTGCTCAAACATGTCCGGAACAGACAAGAGGAGGTTGCTGGTTATAGGAAAATGTGCCAAGCCTCGCTGCTTTAAGGGACTCAGAATGGACAGTTTACCAGTTGTGTATCGTGCGAACAGAAATGCATGGATGAGCTCTACACTTTTTAAAGAATGGGTGAAGGATTGGGACACAGAGCTACAACGCCAGTCGAGAAAAGTGTTATTACTTCTCGACAATTGTGCAGCACATTCAAATTTGGATTTCTTGAAGAATATCCAGATGGAATTTCTGCCTCCCAAGACCACATCTTTGATACAGGCAATGGACATGGGCATCATAAAAAATTTGAAGACCTTTTATCGTTCAAGGTTAGTGAATTACATCCTTGAATCAATTGAGGAAGGCTTGCTGACCTCATCCTCGACGGCCGGAGAAATCAGTGCAAAGGTCAACATTTTGCAAGCCGTTACATTCGTGGCCGAAAGTTGGCGAAAAATGAGCAGTGCGACAATTCGGAACTGTTTTTCTCACTGTGGCTTTAAGCATATTGTCTCGGAGATGGATGTGGATATGGTGATTGTAAATGAAAATGACGGCGAGAATGTGGAGCTGAAACAAGTTGAAAATTACGAAGAATTTTTGTCAATCGACAACGAACTTCAACTCTTTGATGGAAATGAAGAATGCGATGCTGCCATTGTTGCTCGAATAGCAGCGAAACACACGACAGCAACAGAAGACCATGGAAGTGATGAAGAGAACCCTAACGTGTTGATGCCAGTCACAAAACAGGATGCAAGGAAATGCATTGAAACATTGCACCGCTATTTCATGCAGGAAGGAAAGGAAGGTAGTCCTATTACTGCGTTACATGTTTGTGGTGATTTTGTGCGAATGCAGTCTGTTAAAAGAATGCGTCAAACCACACTGGATACGGTCTTCAAACGCTGAATGGAATTCGGTAATCCCTTTGTATAAAACTGTACTTCGCATGCTGAATATCTTGTAGGTCGTTACGAAGAATTTGTTTGTAAATTTCTTTTTCAGTGAACAAAGTTCGTTATCAAAGCAGTTCTTTTTTGTGTGTTTGCTATAAATATATGTCGCCAATACAGGTCATAATAGTAGTTTCCTGTGTTATGTATAGCACGTCCCATCTTGTTACATCGGGTAACTTCGGTTAATCGGACCAGCCGCTTAATAGGACCAAAATGGTCTGGTCCCGATGTGGTCCGATTAACCGGAATCGACTATATATATATATATATATATATATATATATATATATATATATATATATATATACTGCAAATTTGGTTCACATGAGTTGCGACACACCCACACACCACACTATCGTCTGTGAGAGGCGTCGTCAGCAAAAAAGGTGTTGTGAGAACCAGTTCGAATTAATTGTAAGCTATTCCAACGTTCCGCTTAGCATCGCATTAGGCTCAGACAAATTTCTGGGGTTTGCGCGTCCGCAACACACTACACTCCATAGCCGATTTCGTACTCGTTCGCATCGCTCAAGTAGAGGCAGCAGCACTGCGACTAAAACCAGGAAGGTAGCGATCATCAGCTGGAATCTTTACCGTACACCATTTACACACGGGCGAACACTTGTCACGGCGGTTAGTGACAGAATGTCGATTCGTCTGAAGAGCCCATGCAATCTGGACAAGGATTAACACAAGTGAATTTCAATCAGTCCGGTTTATGGGATCGTAGGTGAACCAGATAGACTTTAGTCGTTGCTCCTTGTAACTGCACTACACGACAGATTTCTGTTACGCCAGGCGATCCGGTGCCTTAAAAGTACAACGTCGTCCCACACCACCACTGATCGTGAACTTCACTCTCACTCACTGCTTTACTGTGCTTCATATGCATCATATTGTCGGCTGTCTTGCTTATTTCATGTGACTTGTAATATGGTCAATACACTGTCCGGTGCGGTGAAAGTTTTTGTTCTGACGGCTCTACGCCCCATTAACCGCGATCATAACAATTTCATGTGTTTATCTGCGCTTTTTAGTAAGCGATAGGAGAAGTGTGATTCGATTCCGGTAATCAAGTTGACCGTAATTCACCTTAAATTAGATCGCGCTCCAGATTGAGATTCTGAGTGCCACAACCCATGCACACAGAACAGGTGCTTCAAATGAATTTGCAGTGCACTACATTTTTATGCTGTTTCCCATCGCACTTTATAAATCTCACCCTATTTGATTCTACAAAGTAGGACAAGCATTTTTGTTTCAAACTGAACACGAAAACAACGGATGTGATCGA